ATTGTCTGCTTTATCTCCAGCTGAAAAAATTGCTTTCCCCCCCCTCTTAGAGACATTAATAAAATCAATGATGGCATTGGAGACAAAGTCGCTCAGCTGTTTCAGAACATGACAACTTTCATAGTAGGCATTGTGATTGGTTTTGTGAAGGGATGGAAACTTACACTTGTGATTCTAGCCACAAGCCCCCTCGTTGTAATATCAGCAGCATTTTGTTCTAAGGTAGGTGAGATTTTTGAAGATTCATATGTAAGGCATTTCTTGGAAAGGAAATTTCATGGAAACTGTTCTTGTTGTATACAAAAATTGTAATGACCAAAAAGCTCAAATTTCAACTAGTAAATTACTTATTTTTGTGTGAATAAATGTACAGTTTGATCTCTCTCTAAATTACCAAATTACACTTGAAGTAGGAGTTTAACAGCTGCTCACAACTGCTAAAGGTATGATTCATGAAAAGAAAAATGCATCATGTTAAAAAGAGTTCCTTTGCTCAGACAGTCACACAGATATATTTAGGCTAACTCAACTGTTTTATTTAAAAAGAGAAAGTTTCACTATTAATATTTGAAAATTTCTCCTTCATGTTAACAAGCAAATTATCCAGATAAATGCTGTTGTCTTTATTAATATCAAACAATAACTGCCACTAGGTTCATCAGAGGATGCTTGGAAAGAGAACAATTTTCCTAACAATGATTTCTACATGTGGATTAGGTACTTATTCTAACTGAAGTCCAACTTTCACTGTATCTCAAAGGCAAAATGAGTAGGCTTTATTCATTTGTTAGAGTGATATGTGAAAAAGTTTGAGACAATAATCAGCTATCACATGTTCAGTGCCATTTGTTCACTATAAATACATGTCATACCTTGGATGGATTTGTTACCCATACCATGTGTGATTCAATGTCAGATTTCAATGATTAACATGACTATAGAAGTTTAACTTATTAGTCAGGAGATACAAACAAAAGATAGCTATTGATCATGTGTACAGAGCACATTGTATATGATGTAAGGTCTGATAATACTATAGCAGGCTTAATGTGGATAAATCCAATCAAATTGCTGAGCCAAACAAAAATGTAAGTCTCAAATCCATCCAACAGGGTCCTTATTGAAGGCAGTGCAAAAGATAGATGCATAAAGACATAACAACATGGTATGAAATGAAAGAATTGCTAGTGGTAAGATAAAAATAAAAATGGGTCTTATGATTTAGGGTACATCTAGACTACATTTTTCTTTTGAAAGAAGATATGCAAATTAGGTGGTAATTTGCATATCTTCTCCCGATCACTTTTTTGAAAGTTTTTTTTTCGAAAAAGCAAGTAGACTCAGTTCTTTCGATTAAAAACCCCTTTTTCAAAAGAACCATGTAAACCTCATTTTTTAGGAAGAATGGTTCTTTCGAAAAAGGTTTTTTTTTTTTCTTGAAAGAACCACATCTAGACTACTTTCTTTTTGGAAAGAACCTCTTTCGAAAAAGCAATCGGAAGAAGATATGCAAATTACCACAAAATTTGCATATCTTTCAAAAGAAAAACTTAGTCTAGACTACCCTTAGTTCTGAGTCATCCACTTAGGCCTGATCCTGTCTTAAGATATGAATTCATATTCTCTTTGGAGTTTATAACCTTTGGCAGGATGGATCCCTAAACCTATTTCAGGTATCCATTCCAATTATTACTCTCATCTCTGTCTCATCTTCCCATTCCTATACAATGCATACTTTGCTGTCTTGCCATGAGAAAACATAACCAGTTTGTAAATATTATCCTGTCAATGATCCCAGAACTTTGAAAACTACAAGCAACATAATTGTCTTGTTCCACTTTCCTTCCTGATATTCCTCTATCTCTTATGATCCGTTGGGTTTTTTTGACATTTTTACCATTCTGTATGATGGTTATTATTAGCTGATGTCTAATTCAAATGTCACTTTTTACTAGCAACACTGAAACAATTTACATATAAGCCTCATCCCGAACAGGATATTCTGTTCGGGATCTCTCATCCCCTTGATCAAACTGAGGGATTTAAGGGTGTAGGAGACAGTAAATAGAGCAGACTGGAAAATAAGAATTCCATTTTGAAGGTTCAACGTTTATTTTTTTCCTGCATCAGGACAAAACTAAGACCTTTCTTTCCACCCTCCCCAATAAAAGAGAAAAAGGATATCTACCTCAGAATAACCAGATGGTTAGGGTACTCATCTATGATGTAGGAGCTCTAAATTAAAGTCCGTGAAATAATTTGTAGCAGGGATTTGAACATGAATGGCTAAGCACCCAGAATAACCAGTGTTCATTTTCACAAGAAACTCCATTCTGGACATGACACACCTTCTGGACAAAAGTCTGATTGAAGCCAACATGTTTCTGCGAAAGATTCTGCTTTAATTAATCTGTTTTCTGCTGAAAAATATCTGAGCAGCTCCAGTTTGAAGCTAGAGTTTTTAAAAAATATATCCTGAAAAATATATATTTAAGGGCATTAGGTATATTATTTCTTAGTCTCAATTTTCCTGTATTATTATTAGTCATGGTAGTAGATTTGCAGCAGCCCTTAGAGGCTGCAATCAGTATCACAACACCATACCATTAGGTACCGTGCATATATGTGCACGAATAAGAAAAAGTCCCTGTCACAAATAATCTGTTACGGATATTGGAACAGGTTATAATCCTCCTGGTCACATGCCTTTGATTTTAACACAGTCTTTTGATTATCTTAAAATGTGTAAATAACACTGAAAAGATTCAATATCTTAAAAACCCTCTGGACCTACCATTTTTCTCCTGGTCTCACTATATTCTCATTGAAACCATCTCAAAGAGCAAGGTTGGGGAATCCCAATTAATGAACATCCCTGCACTCATCCTGTTTAGGTAGGTCTAGCAGGCTGCCAGACAGAGTTTATAAGATCTGGATTTTCATGCTTCTATGCTTAAGATCTATCTTAAGGATATTAAATTTAGATTAATCAACTAACCGAATAGTCAATGTGATTTGCATCAGCAATTCAATTAGTTGATAAAGGTGCCTCTGCCTTCGACTCGAGCAGTCCCCCGCTGGCTCTGCACTCCCTGCTTTTGAAATGTACAAGAGCAAAGTGCCGCAGGGAGCATGGGGCCAGAGGGGGATTCAAGCAGTCCCGCACCGGCCCCGTACTCCTGGCAGTGCTTTGCTTTTGAAATGTACAAGAGTCCTGCTGGGGCTCTTGTACATTTCATAAGCAGAGAGTGTGGGACTAGTGGGGACTGCTTGAGTCCCCAGTTTGCCCCAGGCTCCCTGCAGTGCTTCTGCTTTTCAAAGGCAAAAGAGCTACCAGTTCCCCACTGCACCCCTGCCCCTTTTCCCCACAGAGATGTTCCTGGCAGGTACTGGCTTTTAAGCCGGCTCCCCCCCAGCACTGGATCCTGCTTCCCACCCCCCTTGCTGTCTCTCTCTAATAGAGGCAGCAAGGGGGTGGGGAAGCGACTAGCTGAGTCACGGGATGCCTATCTGACAAGAATTTGCTTATCAGATAGTCGACTGGTCACTTACATCCCTAATCTATCTATTCCATAACAGGTGCTCTACATATGAAACAGCATTTAAAAAGTTTCCTAGATTCCTAATTCTGTAAACATTACTGAGATACATCAGTATGGCAATATGAACTAAGTATATGCAAGTTTGGATATTTGGTCAGAAACAGAAGAGTGACCTGCGAAGCACTTTGAAAGATCACTGTGAATCTGGCAGTTCTGAGCTCACTGATATCTGACACTTTAAGCTTCTGAAATAACATAATAAACACAAGGTTGAGAGCTACTCTAGATTTGTTTGTGAAGTTCGCTTTATTCTGCTCCCATTGACTGTAGATGATCATCATGTTAACCAGTAAGGAGTTAACGGCCTACGCCAAAGCAGGTGCAGTAGCAGAAGAAGTCCTGTCATCCGTGCGAACTGTTGTAGCCTTTGGAGGACAAGAGAAGGAAATCAATAGGTCTGACTCTCCATTGTTAATGTCTTTTTTTAAAACAAAACAAAACAAAAAAAAAAACCTTTGACTATATCTGCAGCCACAGTGGTTAACACGTGTGTGTTTTTTTCTGTTTAACAGATATACAAGTAAACTCGGAGAAGCAAAAAACCTTGGTATAAAAAAGGCTATTGCCTCTAAGCTGTCTCTTGGGCTTTTGTACCTAATTATAAATGGCTGCTACGGGCTTGGGTTTTGGTATGGAACTACCTTAATTCTTGATGAGAATACGGACTATACCATTGGGACTGTTCTGGCTGTAAGTGTCCTATTTTAATATCAATGTCTTTCTACAAACTACCTTGGTTGTGAAGGTGATGTTGACTATGTGGTGTGCTGACCATAAGCAGGAACAAGAGAGCGCTGTGAAGTGTTCGCTCTGATGTCAAGTGATCATTGCCAAAATCTACCAAGTTCTGCACTTCAGTCACAACTGTTTCAGCTGAGACACGCTTATCTAATAGAGTGAGGCAAAGAGTGAATTCTCCTGCAGTTTGTTTTACCAGCACAAATGTGCATAGAAGGTCAATGATCTGAATGCTTCTTGAAAGTAAATGTAACAGACATAGATACTATAAGAATCCATTCAGAAACTATATGGCCAAATTCAACAAAGTAGCAGTAAATTAAATTAATTGAAAACTTAATTCGATAATTAAAAATAATTAACAATTTAGCAAGAATCATCATTTGCTCATACATATTCCACAAACAGAGGAAGAGGTGAAATTGCCTAATAGATTCTTCCTCACAAACTGTGATCAACTGTTATGTAGGATGACTGTATGTACTTCTCACATGTTGTGGTTTTATTCATTTAAAGGATATTTTGTAGAATAAAGTTGAAAGTTTTGACTTTGAAACAGTTTTTAATTGTTTGGAAAATTTGAAACTCAACTTTCTGCTTGTCTTAAAGCTCAGAGTAATAGTGCGGTTTATGATGTAGTGAACTGAAGATATTTTGGACTTTTGCAGAGTGGCTTGCAGGTTTTCTGTAAATTTGAACTAGCAGAAGTAAAGGCTGTTCACTTTCCATATTAATTTATTGGATTATTAATGACCTTTTTGTATTTTTAATAATATTTGGTGTTAAAATATACTACAATAGAGCCAAGTAGAAGAGGGGGGGGGAAGTCCTTTTTTTTCTCTTTTTTTCTTAATTCCAGGGTTTAAACTTAATTCTTGTGATACTGGTGTGTCATTCACAAGACATTCCTATACTGGGGCTGATCCTGCTGTCTTCTCTAAAGCATAGTTCCTTTGGTCATAAATAGGAGTGTTGCCTCAGTCAAGACTATCGGACCTTTGGAGTTTGTTGTTTTCAATGTGAGTGTCATCTTTCTCCTCTAGGTTTTCTTCTCCGTAACTTTCAGTAGTTATTGCCTTGGGACAGCAGCGCCACACTTTGAAACTTTCTCTATTGCTAGAGGAGCTGCCTTTAAAGTTTTCAAGATAATTGATCAGGTATTGATCCTTCTAACTTGACCTCACAACTGGGCTATTATCTTGAATGAGAGCACTAATGATGCCAGTAAAAAAATAAGGAAGTAATAAACAAAATAAGCCATTGTGATTTCCATATAAAAATAAGAGGAAAAAATAGTGTTTGCCAAATGGAAAAAGACCAACCAGATCTAGAAAGAAACATTATTATGTTCAAGCTCTTCAAAGGAAATTACGCATAATATAATGGAGTTACCAAAGTAAATAAATGTGGCAGCCAGCTTTAGATGGCACCTGTTTTTAGCATTGTGTAGATTGCAGTGTGGACGATGTTTTAAATATAACTATAAAATATTCAGGAGATAATGAGATCTCCCTCCTTCTATTGTGCATCTGTAAATGTTTTTTCCTTGAATTTCATTTTTTTCCACTTCCCCAGAAACCCACTATCAACAGTTTTTCTTCAGATGGACACAGACTCGATCACATCAAGGGAACACTTGAATTTAATAACGTACAGTTCAATTATCCTTCAAGACCAGATGTCCAGGTAGGAGAAAGACCTACTCTGTATTATGTTGTAGTCACCAGGACTAACTTGGAACTAAATATGGCATGTTACTTGTGTACTCTGCTAAAAGTCCTCTGCTTTAGAGGACAAGATGGAATCCTAGCACATTGGGGTCAGGAAGTTAATTTGAGTTCCTGGCATTGAGAGGAAAGGTAAAAGAGGGCATGGAGACAAATCTTGGAAAAGATGTGAAAAAGGGGTTGTTAGCCAGTAGAGCATTTCAGCTGAGTGAGAAAAGAAAGGTGTGGCCTCTCAAAAGAACAAGAGAGATGAGAGGGAGAAAAGTTATGCAAAGTCCTGAAGATGAGCACAGGGGCACGGGGAAGACTGGCACCAATTCAAGGACTTCAGGGGGGACTGAAAGTGGTCAGAACTACATGGGACATATTTGAGTACGTGAGGTGGAGGTGTTAGGAAGGGTGGTTCGGGTATAAGATGAAGCACACCCAAAACTTGCAAGGGGGATGAGCGGATTTTGAAAATGTGGCAGGGATAAAATTGGCAGGAGTTAGAGACAGATTCTCTTTAATTTGAAATTTTGAAATGCTGTTCTACATTTTTTTTTTCAAACTTCCACAAGGTACTGAAAGGTCTCACTCTGAAAATTGATTGTGGACAAACAGTGGCATTGGTTGGAAGCAGTGGATGTGGTAAGAGCACAACGGTCCAGCTGCTTCAGAGGTTTTATGATCCACAGGAAGGAGTGGTGAGTACAGCCATTGTAAAGCATAGTACTGTTTGCATGGGTATAAAAATAAGAAATTAATCTGAGGGCTTGTATTCACTGCCGCAGAGATTGATGCTGTGGCAGTTGATCTTCCGGTGTTCTATTTAATGGATCTAGCACCGGGTTTTTTCTCCACCAGTGTAGACCAGGTCTTAGTAAGAGCATGCAAAAAATAACTATACCGATCCTCAAGTAAAAAGGAGACAAGTGGAGCACAAAATTGGGATATTGCACCCAACTATATTGGGATATTGCACCCAACAAGATTTCTGAGCAATCACAAAAGTCTAACTCGTATGTTGTGAGCCTTGCACCCCTCAGACAGTGGATTGCTTGGAAGTTATATAAATAACTGGAAAACTTTTTCAAGGCTCTGGCATATCTTCTGTCCTGAACTGCCTCACCTTTTACATTATCCTTCATCTGAAGTGGGGTTTACTCATGAAGGTTTATGCCCTAATAACTCTGTTAGTCTCTAAGGGTACGTCTAAACTACATGCCTCCGTCGACGGAGGCATGTAGTTTAGACGTACCCTTAGAGACTAACAGAGTTATTAGGGCATAAACCTTCATGAGTAAACCCCACTTCAGATGAAGGATAATGTAAAAGGTGAGGCAGTTCAGGACAGAAGATATGCCAGAGCCTTGAAAAAGTTTTCCAGTTATTTATATAACTTCCAAGCAATCCACTGTCTGAGGGGTGCAAGGCTCACAACATACGAGTTAGACTTTTGTGATTGCTCAGAAATCTTGTTGGGTGCAATATCCCAATATAGTTGGGTGCAATATCCCAATTTTGTGCTCCACTTGTCTCCTTTTTACTTGAGGATCGGTATAGTTATTTTTTGCATGCTCTTACTAAGACCTGGTCTACACTGGTGGAGAAAAAACCCGGTGCTAGATCCATTAAATAGAACACCGGAAGATCAACTGCCACAGCATCAATCTCTGCGCCAACTCTGAGGCCTTTACATTAGGAATTACTTGCAGATGCAGGGCTTAGATTTAGAAAACCCAAACACACAGCTGGCTGGTATTCAGCGTATTTGGTAACCTGCTCACTTAATGGTGATGTGTATAGGGTTTCCATGGAGGGATAGATATTGTACTTATTTCAGTTCAAGACAATGTTTGCTGAAGTATTATTTAGGAGGAACCATGGCAGATCTCTGTGAGAATCACAGATCTCAGTTTGAATTACCTGCTCTAGTAAAACATGGAGTGCTTAGTTCGAACCAGGAAAACCTCATTTTACGAGGATTAAGCCTAGTTCGAACTAGCTAGTTCGAATTAAGGGGTGTGTAGCCCCTTAATTCGAACTAGTGGGA